TAAAGAAAACCCCCCCCCCCCCCCCCAAAAAAAAAAAAAAAGACTATAATTCGAAAGAAAATTGAACAAGCTTCATTTTGCTTTAAAAAAAAACTGATATTGGCCCAACAGGGTCCAAGTTATTAAACTTCAAATTTGGGGCGGTTTTTTTTTTGCCCACCCTGTATATACTCACCTTTGAAGGGAAGATCCATGTGGCATCCGTGTCAGAATGTCATGTCTTTGACGGTAGGAGTTAATCCGCTGACAGACCGGGGAGACCCTGAATGACTCATTTCCCATTTTTCTTTTCCTTCTACTGCCCATATTCCCAGTGACTCCACTATATGCTCGTATTTCTGTTGATATTCTCCAGGGCTCCACGTTAGTAAACACTCTGAAGGAATCCATACCATACGTCCTGGCACTTCTAGGTTGCAGTTCAGCTAAACGGACGTAATATCAATTCGTAGCCAGCATTTTCCTGTTTCTGACCGGGGATAGGCATTTGAGAAATCTTGCCTTTTCCATTTCCTTGGTGAGACTTATCGTTTAGTTCGATATCGATGTCTCCATGCAAAAAAATATCACTGCAGAGAATATCCTACCCTTCCTTCCACCCACCCCTTTCCCTCCGGCTACGGAAATGAGGATATCTTTGACTCTGGAAAAGCAATCTGGAGGACGAGAACCTACGGAATGGGGGGGGAGGGGGGAAGGGAATCTGCCCGAATTTTGGTGGCAGCTGGTGAAGATACTAGCCATGTAATTTTCAAGTGCCAGGCATCATCTGGAAACTGTTCAATCCCAAACAAATTTGGCGAACCGTGTACAATCGATTCCCTGTCGGGAGTAAAAAAAAAATTTGACTAAGTGAAACACGCACGAATTTTAACAAAATCAAGCGCTGAAACTTTGTAAGAAATGTTGCCTAACTTTCGCGGCCTGTGCCAATAATGATGACAAGTGAAATTGGAATGCGATAAAAAATTGAACAAGTAAAGATGGATTCTTACTCAAATTTTCCATTTTTGTCCTTCGCTGCTAGCAGCCGTTGCGAGAGCCCGAGTGGGGTGGACCGCTGCATCTCGGAAATGTTGGAACTATTTCAAATAGTCTGCACCTCATCATTCGTTGATGAAACATTGACACCACATGTTCTTTTCTTTTTTTAAGAAAAACCTTTTTATTTGTTAAAAATATTTATTTTTATTCATACAAGGGCAGCCTAAAACCATCGCCTTGCGGCCAGAAAAATACCGCATGCCGTGGTCGGATTCGAACCTGGACCTCCTGCGTTCAAGCCCGAGCCCTATCCACGGTGCTACGGCAATGCGGTCGATATTATCCTTTCTATTCGAGCTAGGGCTGACAGCCCTAGCCCGGTTTTCATTCTCTTACATAGGTGTTCCAACTAATCTCGACCAAAATTTGGCGTAGCTAACGACGCCGCATTGTGAGCGCCACTGTCGCAACTCGTCACAGCGTTATAGTGGAAGCACGCCTCATTCCATATCCGTCGTTAGTGAAACGTGCGAGAAATGAAATGCAATAAAGAGGGGATAGAGACGAAACCGAATGGATTGACTACTTCTAGAATCAGTTTTTCAGCTGTGGTAACCTACATAACAGGGAATATGATTAGTCACTGACTATTTTGCTTTTTACATAAATCATAAACGAATGAAGATACCACAATTGCAAGAATTCAAATTTAGCTCAAATTTATTGTTCATTGCATGGAGCCTCTGACCTAGAATTGCATTAACTGGACGGCGGCCTCAAGTCCTTCCAATGTTTTTGGTCACTGACCAAACTATTTTTCTTTAAAATAACCCTACAAACAGAAATCACATGGGTGAAATCAGGGCTACATGTTAGCCAGTCGATGACTCCGAGCCTAGCTTTTTTTCGAACCAATGCCGAACCTGGAATGTATTTTTCCAAATTTCATAGCGGGCAGCTATTTAGGAGCGTTTGTCTATTGAAAATATTTCCTTACCTTTATGTTCTATACAGTTAAAAATGTGGAGGGATTTCTGAGACACCCACTATATTAAATAAAACGTTAAGTATAATACTGTATATCAAAATAAACGAACACTCCCCCCTCCCCCCATTAAATCGGGAATGTGGGGTGGGAGCTGATAATTGATAGTATGTAAAATACAAACTTAATGATAAAGCCTACTCAAAATGCTCACACAGCAATGCAACATTTTCTGAAATCTCTATGTCCAAAGCCTAAGGTCCTTAAGCTTTGGATATGGGGATCATCTTGCCTAAATGAGGTTTCAGCATTCAGCCCCAATGATTCTGTACTCCAGAAAGAGTTACAAATGAAGCAATAAATTTTTTTGGCACACGTAAAGTTTCACGTTCCAAGAAACTTTCCAAGAAATTGATTTTATTTTTCCCTCTTCCTGGGTTGCAAATACTTTACATGATTGGGAGTGCAACGTTTTCCTTCGTGATGGAATTATTCCATCAAAAAATATTCTTCAACTCTCTCCATTCCGTGGCTTACATTAATATGGGCTCCTCTCCTTCCTTTTTTTTGCGAACCCAATCGTATAGAAGACGGTGATAATGATGGATCTAGCAGAAATGCAGCCGCAGGGAACTCTTGTACAATTGAGTTCTCTGGAAAAGGGGCGTATGTGCCCGTACGCCCTTTTTCTATATCCGTGTGCATGTGCTGCTTTAGGTGACTAGACATATGATATGGTGGTCAGCTAGTAGTTAAGATGCGTATTCAGCAAAGGATAAGCAGATTTTCCTATGCTTTCACTGTACGAGGTATAGCAGGCCAACTGCCTGGTAATTTCAATATGGCTGCCTCCATGAATATTCCATTTGCACTTGCATACTAAATGATTTTGGTGGAATTATTTCGTCCTTTTAAACTGAAAGTGAAAATGACGAAGAAACCAGACATGAGGAAAGGGAAAGAAAGAGGTCCTGTCATTCAAGCCACTGAATGGATGTGAGAAATAGGAGATATCCATGAAATAGTTGAAGATTCAGATTGTGAATGCATTAATAATGGATCACTGCTGAGTGATTGGTGAATGAAACGTGTCCTGAATATTAACATTTTCATTGCTATTTTTCAAGAAACGGTTTATTTGAAATCTGTAGATGCATTTATTGATTAATTATTATTTTTATCT